CAATGTACAGGGGGGGGGGTCGTATCAAGACCCTTATTTGGAGGGGGGTCGTATTTTTCAGGAAATGATCACAACGCAATGGCGTGCCTTGGCTGCAAGGTACTGATACCCGGGTGCCGTCTCTTGACTCCTCCCTCGCTACCGCATGGCGAGTCACACGCCTAATCGTAGTCAAACGCGCTGTCTGCCTGCATCCTGTCACTTCTGGCAGCTCTCTACAACTGGGAGCATGTTCCGCTGCGGGACCTTACTATCGTCGCGAATGCTGCATTCTAAAATAGCGCGGGCGGAGTCGGGATGCTGCATCCAAGTTTCATTATCCTAGAGCCCCATTCAGATTCACCTGAGTGGATGTGGGAGGCTACTACTGCTGCGGACGATACGCCTCGCACAGGGCAAAGACAGTCCTCTGTGGTGATTGTACAGTTTTTCTCTGAATGAAGGCAAACTTTAATAGGTAAACAAAACATACGGAAGATAAGTATGGCGGTGATCAGTAAATTGAGTACGACGCGGAAATTTATCAAATGCACCGACACCATTCTCGGCCTGAAAGCGAGGTAATTCAACTAACTGAATCGTGTAAATAGTACCAGTTTATTTTCTCTCGTTCGCATCAGCATTCAAAAGTTAAGGGTTTCACTTGAGAACCTATCCACTAACGGTACGCCTTGCTTACATAAAAAGAGCATACTCCGCGATAATTGGATGAGGCGGAGACAGGTAACCTCCAACAACGTCCTCATTGGTGAGCCTTTCCTTTCAATCCGGTAGAGAAAAGGACTCCACCACTGAGGAAGACGGAGTGCTCTTGATCTGATCCCTGCTATAGGCCCATTCATTTATCACGGAATGTCTTCGAGTGACGTACAAACATTTTTGTACTTACCTGAACCCATAGGACATGATGATTTGACCCCAAAAATAGATCACAATACCAATGAAGAAAGTGAATGCACCAACGTCATGTGTCACTAATTGCGGCCCTTCCTAAAATATAGCTGTAACACATCTCTGGAAAATTGTAAAAGTTGTAAAATAAAAACCGAAATATGCAGAGGACCTTCATTGATTAGGAAAAATCAGAGAAAAGAGCTCCGGAAAGGAATATTAGTGCAACAAGTCTCAAAAAAATGAAATATGTAAAAAAATAAGGACCAGAAAAATAAAAAATATAATAATATAATATAAATATATAATATAATACCAGAAAATAAAATAAAGACTGTTGTCACTGCATTCATCTCGCTAATCAAATGTGACCGATTACACCCGACAGGATTTCAGGGGGGCTGAGACAGTGCAAAGGTAAGCGGCCCCACTCACCACGTGCGTCATCCGAGGAGGAATCCAAATTCTACTCCTTCAGTCGGAAATCGGAACTCGTTTTTCCCTCCTATTCAATAGGTGTCACAATGATGCGGTGACAAGGCACATGAAGCGGCGCAACAAGTGCGCCATTTGCACCAGGACCTAGGTAGCTAGGAAATGCTTGCTAGTTTGTGCGCGGCGTCTGAAGGTGGACGTCTCGTGCAGAACCTACTATGCTTTATCGCGACCATTGCAATGTGTACAGCATAGCCAGTCTTCCGGAAATTTTACAAATAGAATCGTTGGAATTGAAATTAATGGACAATGTTTAAAAATCTAATAAACGAGAATGATTGATAGATGGCTCAGCTTCCGTTTCGTGCGTGCCCTTAGATGGAAGCCGAGGTAGTTATACCTTCGAAATTTTCATAACAAATCTAATGAAAAGTATTAGTCACGTGATAATAAAAATACAGAAAGTCACCTGGAAATTTGACACCATTGACACCCCGAGGGCAGCGAGAAATCCGACAATCATAAGAAGTACCGAAACTATTCTCCATCTTTGGATATTGTTGTCGTAGTCTCTCGCATGGAACCCCATCGTTTGCCGATGCATCAGGAACACGGTCACTGCTACTGCAAATAAAGTTCTGTTTTGTAAAATCAAGATTGATCGTGTCAACTTTGCGGTTTTCAAAACCCCATCCACAAGAAGTTGCGACGCAAATTATTGGTATTTTACTCTGAAAATGAAATAGAGACATCTCAATGGTTTCGGTCATCACGATCTTTACCAAAACATATTAGCGTGATTTATAAACATAATTTAACATAATTTATGGCCGGCTTTTGTTCGAATCCAAATCCATTTTTCGGCACTATTTACCCTTTACTGCCCCAGTCATCCGAAATCAGGCCAGCTCCTGACCGACTTTTTTCTCCGTGGGCAGATTTTGCTCAAATGTTGTCTCCTGGGTAGTTTGACCTCCAGAATACGAATATCACATTCGCTCAGCCCAAAACTTCCTGGCGCCCCACAGGCGCCAATGATTTGGGGTATTTTGGCGCCGGTGCCCGTGGTGCAGGCGCCAGGAGGTTTCGGGTTAAGCGGATGTGATATTCGTGTTCAGGGGGTCAGCCTATCCCTGGGAGCAAGTTTTCAGCGAATTTGGTTATTTCGAGTATTTTGCGCCGGACGCCGTGCGCGGGCCCAGGAGGGTTTCGGGTCAAGCGGATGCAATATTCGTGTTCAGCGGGTCGAACTACCCCCGGAGCCAAGTTTTCAGCAAATTCTGCCCACGGAGAAAAAAGTCGGTCAGGAACTGGCCTGATTTCGGATGACTGGGGCAGTAAAGGGTAAATAGTGCCCGATTTTTCTGTTCCGTGTCGGACTATCGCCAAACGAGTCACGGGGGTGGGGCGGTTCAAATAGAAGTTCTGAAAACGGAAGTGGCGCTGCAGGTCAACGGGCTGGGAATCCAAGCAAGGCAACCCCTTACCATAAATTACGGTTCAGGGTATTATCTGCGAAACTTAACGTCAGAGCACGCAAATGTTAGCTGTGCATTGAGGCAAAGAACTGTTACTAACCCGATTGGGAGGCCGTGGCTCAGCTTCCTCGTCTAAGGAGGTAAAAGCTGAGGGTGTCGACTTCACTCTGGCAGCCTCCATAAAAGTCTCTCCAT